TTCTGCTCCCGTAAAGATTTACAGCCTTGGAAACCCTGTACAGGGTCTCTGTGAGTCGGAACCGACTCCACGGCACATAACAACAACAACAACAAGGTGTTCAACATTCTATTTACCTCGTGTGTCAACTACATCCTAGGGTGACCACCAATGAGTCACACCATTTCTAAATCTTCTCCCCTTGTGTGTGGGTGAAACCTATGACTTTCATCTAACCAATATAATATGGCACAGGCATCGGAACATCTATATCTTGATTGTATTATGTTATATAGCAAGCCTAATCAGTAGATTTTGAGTTCATCAAAAGGGAAATTATCCAGGATGGGCCTGACTAAATCAGGTAAAATATTAAGTGAAAGTCTAGGCCTTTATTGAAGAACCACACTTTTCTGATGGCCATATTATGACCTGCCTGGAAAGGACTGCCTCTTAGGGCTACCAATAGCCTGAATGAGCTTGGAAGAAGAATCCAAACTCCAGATGAGAACTGAACTTGCTGACACCTGTATTATATAGAGGCTCCAGCTAAGTCACACCCACACTCCTGATCAATGGAAACTGTCAGCTGGTAAATGTGGGTTGTTTTAGGACACAAAGTTTGTGGTAATATGATATGTGACATCAGAAAACTCACACATGATCAGGTAAAAATCAAATGAATTTTAAGTGAGGACTCAAAATATTCCATTTATATAAAGTTTCTGCTCATTACTAAGTAATCTAATTTTTCTATAACAGTAGAAAAATTGGGGTATTAGAAGAGTAAATATATGGCATAAAATAACGAATGTGAAGGAATTAGTAAAATAGGAATGGAGGAAATATACTAGTGTGAAAAAAGTCATGAAATATCAATAATCCTTAAAATAAAAAATATCATTTTAACGTTCAATATCATTGAACGTTAAAATGCTCAACAAATTGAGGCATTTATAGAATCAGCTGGGTTAACAAAGTTTATCTATTTATGATGTAAACCAAGACATAATCTTATCTATACCTGATTTGTATCTACAAGAGTCTTTGTCCAAACAATAACTGAGGACATAATAGACTATTATGTGATGTAATAACAGAATAATATAAGCACCTTTAAATAATTTTTTTTTACTTTAAAATTAGCTTTATTTTACCATCTTGGGCTCATTTTGACTAAACACACACACATATACAATGGAAATAGGAGAAACAAAATGGATTGGTTACAAGGTACTGGATGTGTGCAAAAGAATCCTGGTGGCACAGTGGGTTAAGCATTGGGCTGCTAACTTCAAGGTTGGTGGTTCAAACCCATCAGTCATTTTGCTGGAGAAAGATGAAGCAATCAGCTTCTGGAAAGATGTACAGCCTTGAAAACTCTATGGAACAGTTCTACTCTGCCCTGTAGGGTTGTTATGAGTTGTAATTGGTTCTGTGCCAGTGGGGTGGGTGTGTGCATGCATGCGCACGCAGGGGTATGATCATATATGTGACAATCGGCACTTGGGAATGCCACATACTTACCTTATATGCCTGATCACTGACAGCCTTAATGTTGGCTTCTCTCCATTTTCCTGGCACCCCACCAATCACTTCGCGGAAGTTCACATAGTAGCCAGTAATATCAGTCCCTCCAGTCTTATCTGGCTGCTTCCATCCAAGAACCATTGAGTCACGAAAACTTTCAAGACTAGTGATATCATAGGGTGGCGATGGTGTCGCTGTAGCAATATGAATAGCGTGTGAGTAGACAGAAACGCATCCCTGATTCCATGTAGATTAAACTGGTTGAGTTGATACCATTTATGAAGGCAACAGATCTTGTAGTAAAAAAACATCTAAAATAAGAAACTTCTCAGAAACTTGGCATCCGATTTAGTATATGAAGAAAAATTTACACAAAAAACCTGCAGTGCAATCATTATTAAAAACAAATGAAGATCGTATGCTCCTAAAGAAGAATTCATTTGGAAACATTACCAGCAAAATGATGAAGTTCCTGAAAAAAGGATTCTATTCCCCAGAAGAAGAAATCTCACCCCTACCCAGATATTTTTTTTCATATGCTTCTTTACATAGCTTTCTTTTCATTTGCTTCCTGAGGAAAATGGAATATGTATATCAATTTTTGCACCAATTCACTTATTTAGAATTTCCATTCTAAATAAATTCCAAGATTTATTCTTGAACTTCCCCATTCAGCCATACTCACTGTTGTAAGACCTTACAACTATATAGATTCTATTTGTTTGCACAACAAGAAAATTCCTATTCTAGAGCTCAGTTAAATGCAACCTTTAAAAAAAAAAAAAAAAAAAAATTTGAAAACAGGCATAATCTTCCATGTGACTCTCTCTAGAATGATATGACAGTTTTATGATAATTTATGATAGTTTTATAGCAGTATTTAACCTACTGTTGGACTATTATTAGGAAAGCACAAAATACTAACAAGCTGTCACTGTATTTATTACTGCCTAGTTCTGGTGTGATACTATGGATCAGCACTGGACTGTGAACCACAAGGTCAGCAGTTCAAACCCTTCAGCTGCTCCTTGGAAACCTATACAGGGTCACTATGAGTCAGAATTGACTCGATGGCAGTTAAGTTAGAAAAAACATATTTAGGAGATACTTTTTAAATTTTCTTCATTTGTGGTGGTTTTGGTGATCAATGTCTCACTACTTAAAACTACTGAAATCATAGATTTAAATGCAGGGGGAAGAGAAAACAGTCTGGAGAAAGAATACAGAGAGAAATCTGTCTAAAGGTAGACTAGTGTCAAAGATAATTTTCTGACTATTCAGTTGGGTTATAGGAGGTACATTGTTATTGCTGTTGTTAAGTGCTGTCGAGTTGGTTCCGACTCACAGTGACCCTGTATACGCTTTACGAGGTTACAAATCTTTTTGGGGAGTCCTGGTGTGGTGCTGTGGGTTAATGCACTAGACTGCAAAGTCACTTTGAACTGCAAGGTCAGCGGTTCAAGCTCACCAGCTGCTCCTTGAAAACCCTACACAGGGTTGCTATGGATCAGAACTGACTTGATGGCACTTAACAACAACAACAAATCTTTTTGGGAGCAGAGGTATAGGAATGATCTTTTTAAAAAGATTTTTGGAACAATGAAGCCTTCTTCCTTCATTCTCTAATTTTTCAAAAAATTTTCTTTCTTTTCCTTTTCCTTTCTATTTCAGAGCAATGTTGAATGTGAACTCTCAGATTAATATCTTATGTCATCTTGAGTTGAAGAAACCAATAAACGTGTCAAAAATTAGAAGAGTTTACAGAGGTTGAGGCAGGATAGAAAAAGGGGATGGATATAACTGATCAAAATATGAGAGTCATCATTTCTTATTTATTTGACAAGAAAAACATTGTATATTAGAATATATAATCTACCAAATATGCTAGTCAGATAATTGTTAACTTACTGATTGTTGTTGTTGTTAAGTGCCATCAAGTCGGTTCCAACTCATAATGACCCACGTAGGGTTTCATAGCAACAGCTGGTGAGTTATAACCACCAACCTTATGGTTCAAACTGACCTTGCAGTCCAGTACATTAACTTGCAATGCCACACCAGGACTTACTGATTGTTGTTATTAAGTGCCGTTGGGTCGGTTCCGACCCATAACAATCCTGTATAGAGTTTCCAAGGAGCAGCTGGTGAGCTTGAACTGCCGACCTTGCGGTTCAAGCCGACTTTGCAATTCAGTGTATTAACCCATAGCGCCATACCAGGACTCCAGGAATTACTGATAAACAGTCTGAAATAAGTCAGTTCTTGGAAAGCAGATTGTTATATATATCCAGTGCTATAGGATAAGCACTGGACCACTAACTGCTAGGTCAGCAGTTCAAAACTACCAGCTGCTCCTTGGAAACCATTATGAGTCAGAACTGACTCAATGGTACTTAATAACAACAACAACAAAACTTTTCATGGCACTTCAGAGATAAAATTACTTATATTTATTTGAATTAAATGTGAAGGATAATTTGAAAACCTGAGGCTAAACCACAGAAGTTAACAGTTATCCTGGTAAAATATCCCTTCTTTGCGAAATATTTTTCTTACCCATGGACCAAACACAAATATTTCAAAACACCTCACCTAAGCGCTAATCTCCAGTTCTCTAAGCAAAATGAGTTCAAAGATGAATTCACATTTGCTTGGCCAAACCAAATAGGACTCTGCATCCAAGTTATTTAAAAAATTTCCACTGCCATCAAGTCTAATGAATCAGGTACAAAAGCTATATAGAATGACTTTGATCACACATTAGACAGAAGTATTCCCAGTGGATCTGAAAACACATAGAATCAGGAATGAATGGTGATGAACGTGGACAGAGATGGAAGAATGTGACGTAGACAATGGGAGGTGAATACACTGATGGAGACAGATGGAATGGTTTTACTCTCCCAGTGCTCACCTACGTCCTTCTTCTTTTTCAGAGGGCCAGACTTACTTTTCCCTTTAGGAGCTGCTGGTGGTGGGATAGGCTCGTCCTGAACTGTTTCACTTACTTTACTCACTTCTGTTTTGCCCAGTTTGTGAGAGCTACCGGGCAGAGTAGGTTTGTTAAGTTTGCTACCAAGCAAAGCATCTTTCTTAGAGGTTGGCTGGGAGGCTTCATGCATGCCTCCCCGGAAGTCTGTTAGTCCACCAGGCGTGTCACTCAGTTCAGGGCACACATCTTGAGACACTCCTCCCCCTACAATTGCCAGATAATAACAAAAACACTTTGAGCCCAAAGACAGTATAAAGTGCTCTTATTTAACAGAACAAAGAGATAAACATTTGGACCACAAAACGAAAACATCTTGACTTAACAGAAACCACTTGGATTTGTGAGCTATATGGAAAACGCACACATAAATTACACCAACAAATATTTCAACTTCTCCAGATTCAAGAGAAAGCAGAAATGAGAACAACAACAACAAAATCACAGGCAGAACAGTAACCACTTTGATTTGCAAAACCCAAAGTTTTAGTCTCTATATATAAAAAAGCAAATCTCAGGCATTTCTTAAGAGACCTAATCTCTATTACTCAACAGAATGGGAAAATGACACAAAAGACATACTATTAATGACCTTGATTTTATAACAGAGTTACGTACATTGCAGCAACAGTGATAGTCTGTCTGTGTCTCCCAATCTCAAAGAAGCATGTTCACAACTGTCAATTTCAGACCAAAACCAAACCAAGCCATGAGTCAATTTCAGCTCATGGTGACTCCATGTGGTACGAAGTACAACCGTTCCACAGGGTCTTGTTGACTGAAATCTTATGGAAGCAGACTTCCAGGCCTTTCTTTTGCAGAGCAGCTGGTGGGTTCAAACTGACAACCTTTAGGTTAGTAGTCAAGCATAAACCATTTGTACAACCAGGGCTGCCTGCTCATTTTATAAGACATGCTAATTGAAAACAATTGTTAATAATTTTTTTTTTCTATTCAAATATGTGTTACAATATCATAGAAGGAGCACTGGTGATGCTATGAGTTAGGCAGTGGCTGCTAACTGCAAGGTTAGCAGTTTAAACCTACCAGCCACTCTGCTAGAGAAAGATGAGGTTGTCTGTTCCCATTAAGATTTATAGTCTTAGAAACCCTAAATAGGGTCACTATGAGTTAGAATTGATTTGATAGCAGTGGGTTTTTGAGTTATATCACAGATTTCCTTTTTATTGCTCTCAACTACTTTTGCCTAGTTCAATCCAAGATTGGGAGGTACATCATGCACATACATGTAATTACTTTGTTACTGGTTTTATCCTGATGGTTACTCTGCAAGCAGAGATGAAACATATGATTAATCAACCACATAAGCCTAGTATGAATTCTACTGCTTATACAAAGAATGTGAATGCGCTATTAGTGAAGACAAGCCAGCTCTGTCACAGAGGAAAGGACTTTTTACAGACGAGATAACATGTGTTATGGGTGAGGTGATCTACCACTTTATGGAATCGGATGGTGCTTCACAGTCCAGGATGAGCATAAAGTTAGAACGGAGTTTCCCACAAGGGTTCACGGGAAATGGCGGAGGAACCTGGACTTGTGGAGATGAAAAGGCTACAGAAACTGGATGAGTGACAGCAATCTGAAAATGACGCTATAGACAGTTAGATGTTACCAAGACTCAGAGAAAATGATTGGCTTAGGATGGAACCATCAAGCAATGGGAAAAGCTTAAAACAGTTTCTGGAGAGTATGGTATTTTCCTGTATAACTGAAAAAAATTCATTCTTATCCCTACAAAATTATGGGTAAGAAACTTACCAATAGCAGCTTTTACTTCAATAGCTTCTGAATCCTGTGAATAGTCACTAAGTCCAGCTGCATTAACGGCTCTGACTCGGAAGATGTAATTCTGACCTGTTACCAATCCATGACAAGTAAATCTAAAAACAAACAAAACAAAATCTTAAAAGCTGTCCTAGGAAGAAAATTGGGGAAAGGATTGTTTAACTGAATGAGCTGACTCTAAAAAAAACCATAATTCTTCTTTTTAAAGAAGGAAGGACAAGTTGTCCAGAGGTCTAAGTAACGTAAATGCTTTAAACCAAGAAGGAACTAAGGCAATTTTCTGGAGTCCTGGTATATATAGTGTGGTGGGTTAATGCGCCATGCTGAAAGTAGGTTTGAACGGCAAGGTTAGCGGTTCAAGCTCACCAGTCGCTCCTCGGAAACCCTATACAGGGTCGCTATGAGTCGGAACCAACTCCATGGCACTTACCAACAACAATTTTCTAAGCTCACTCTATTGAAAAATGAAGAGTCCTGGTGTGACTTTGGATAAGCCTCAACATTTCTGAGCCTCTGTTTGCTCATCAGTAAAACGGACATTATAATGCCTACCTTGTAAAAATACGAATTGGGCTGTGAAACGCAAGGTCAGCAGTTCAAAACTACCAGTGGTTCCGCGAGAGAAAGATGAGGCATTCTGCTCCCGTAAAGATTTACAGCCTCGGAAACCCTGTGCAGGGTCACTATGAGTCGGAACCAACTCCATGGCACTTGACAACAACAACAAAGTACTTTGAATGTGATTGATGACCTAGGCATATACTAAGTCTGTAACATAGATACCATATCACAGAGAGCTAGTCACCGTATTCCTGCTTGCCAGGGAAGGTACAACTACCTGAAAATGACACTAGGATCTGAAGAATCAGTGAAAAATGAACTCCAGAATTATCACTTAGATCTGAGGATCCAATAATGAGTTACGAGTCCATGGGCAGTTTCATATATAAAACAACCTTACTCTTTAATAGTTATTTTTGCTATAAATGGCTATTACATGAATCACTGTGACATTGAATTCTACCCTAAGAACTGAAACCAGAGGAAACAGCATGTTTACTATTAGCACATTCACATAGTTAATAAAGGCAGCAAGATTGAGGCCAGCCCTTCAGTCCTTCGGGCCAGCTCAGTCCAATGAATATTTATTGAGCATCTCAGTGCTCCAGACACTGAGCTAGGGATGGTGAATATGAAGAGGAATAAAAGATGGTGCCTGCCCACCCTAGAGCAGTTCTCAGTCCGCTGCCTGTTCCCGGAGAGGCAGATTCCACCTATCCTCCCAGGGTGTGTCTCAGCAGGCCAGGTACAAGCTGGAGAATTCAGAATAAAGGTGACTGCTGAAACAGGCACAAAACTTGCATAGCACAGTTTTTCCTCTCTATCAGTTGTCTCTAGTCTCTCATGTTCTACAAAAGAGCCAATTCATCCTATTAGGGTCCTTGGACTTAGAAGTGGCCCAAACTAGGAGTTGCCTAACAAACCCATTAGACAATTTGGGGATATTTCCCTCTCAGACTGGCCCTAAATCAAAGAGGCATCAAGTTTGGGTGTAGGCTACAATTCACCACGAGATTACAAAGCTAGTTGATAAAATATTTGAGGGCAAAACAAAATAAAAATCACTTAATACTGATTTGAACATGTTGATGTTTAGAATTTGTAAAATGGTGATACCTTTTTTCCAGTAGTGTAGGGCTTACGAGTCAGGCTGCTAACCTCAAGGTCAGCAGTTCAAAACTACCAGCTGTTCCACTGGAGAAAGACGAGGTTTTCTGCTCCCATAAAGATTTATAGCTTCAGAAACCCTGTACAGGGTCACCATGAGTCGGAACTGACTCCACAGCACACAACCACCGCCATGTGCCTTTAAGTCATCCAAATGCCATTAAAAGTCCATTTAAAATGCTTGGGTAATATGTGTTAGGTAGAGTCTCTTACATCATTTTGGATATTAAAGATAAAAATATACCAGTTGCCATAGAACCGATTCTTACTTATAGTGAATCCAAGGTTGTTAGAGTGGAACTGTGTTCCCTAGGCTTTTCAATGTTTCAGAAATGGATGACAAGGCTTTCTTCCTCGGTGCTTCTGGGTGGACTCAAATCTCCAAGCTTTTGGTTAACAGTGAATGTGCTGAGTTAACCGTTTGCACCATAAAGGAGCTGCGAAGATCAGAATAACCTACCTACTGCCATTGAGTTCATTCCAACTCACAGCAACCCTGTAGAGGGTTTCTGAGGCTGTAAACCTTTGTGGAGCAGAAAGCCTCATCTTTCTCCCATGGAATCGCTAGTGGGTTTGAAATGCCAAATCTGAGGTTAACAGTCGTCCAGTGCTTATCCTACATCACCATCAGGGCTCCCTAAAGACCAGGATTTCGTTTGTTTTTTATGTGGGCCATTGAATTGGTTCCAACTCATAGTGATCTCGTATAGGGTTTTTGAAAGTGGCTGGTGGGTTTGAATTGCCAACCTTGCAGTTACCAGTTCATTGCTTACCCTACAATGCCACACCAGGGCTAAAAGATCAGAATTGTTGTTGTTCAGTGCTTTGGTGTCAGTTCTAGCTCATAGCAACCCTGTATAGGGTTTCCAAAGAGCGGCTGATGGCTTGAAACACCAGTCCTGTGGTTAGCAATACAGTGCTTATCCCACAGCATCACAGAGGAGTGAAAAGAGAACAGATAGCATAAAGGGAAAACATTTTAGAAAAGAGATTTAAAATGAACTCTTACGTTATCGCTGACATTGCATGTTTCTAAGTATTGAGCACCACAAGTTAACCTTTAAACAAATGTATTACCTGCAGACATGCTGCATTGGATGCCTATATGGGACAGTCTTCTCTTTGCACCACTGTGACTCTACATCCCTATCCTCCTCAACCCCATCTCCGTGCCCTCCCCAGCTGTTACCGTGAGCCCTTCACGGGGTTGTTGTTGCAGGGTTCCCACTTGCCAGAGCCGACAACACTGGACTCTATGTAGTACCCCACCAGCTCTTTTGCATCTTTGGGTTCCTCCCAAGTAACTACCACTGAGGTATCTGTGTTTCTGCTTGGTATGATTTTGCTGGGGGCTTTGGGAATATCTAAGAAAAGAGGAAAAAAAGGGTCAAAACCAGGGTGACTGTAAAAAATTCATTCTTCTTATGTATGTACATATACACATACATACAAACTTGGCAAGAAATAATCATGTCAAGCTTTGCTTTAGTTTATAATATATTTAACAACACAGAAAACAGGCAAACAAAATGTTTATAATGATAAACCAAATATTCTTTAACACATTAACTGACTCTAGAAAAAAAAAGTCATTAGCTGTATTTTTGTAGGAATCCTGATGTGGCGTTATAGGATAAGCAGTAGACTGCTAACTGTAGGGTCAGTGGTTTCAACCCACCAAGAAAACCTTTGTAACTCCTGGAGAAGTTTCCTTATCATAAATAAAAATAATTTTTTTGGCCTTAACATATAAATCAAATTAAGCCTCAATTTAAGTTTATAACAT